GCGCGACGTCACGTTGGGCCGGAGCACCGCGGCGATTTGCGCCTCGAGGCGCTCGCGCCGCGCCGCGACGCTCCCGGCGTGAAGCCGGTCGTCGGAGATCGGCGCGAGCGACGCGCCCGTCGCGAGCACGGCGTAGTCGCAGCGGATGGAGACGTGGCCGTCGCTCCCGGCCGCGCCGACGTCCAGGGTGAGCGCGTCGTCCGCGTGTGTGATCTTCGCGGCGGCGCCCGGCGCGACGCGCGCGAACGTCGCGCGCCGCCCGCGGAAGAGTTTCGCGAGCGGCTTCACGAGGCGCCGGTGCTCGTGCGCGTCGACCCAGGCGCGCAGGATGCCGGGCGTGTACTCGAAGTAGTGTTTTTGCTCTAGCAGTATCACTTCGCCGATGGCACGGTTGTTTTTCAGGCGGCGCGCGGCGGTGAGGCCCGCGAAGCCGCCGCCGAGGACGGCGACTTTCGGTTTTTGTCTTTGTTGCGGGTTGCGTCGCAGCGGTGCCGGGAGCCGCAGCGCGGCGACGCAGGTGCAAGCGAGGAGGTGTCGGAGCATGGCCATGCTGCACTGCACCAGATCTTAGCAGGCAAGCCAGCGGCGCGCGCGCCGGACGCGTCCTCTCGCGCCGACGCCCGCGCGCGAACCGCGGCGCGATGGCCGAAGCTCGGTGTGTAGCCGGCAGCGCCTCGGCAGGAGCGAGCATCTTGGAACACGCGCGCGTGCTCGTGTCGTCGCCGCCGCGCGCGGCGTGGGGCTGGCGGAAGGAGCCCGCGGCGGGGACGCCCGAGGCGGCTTGCTTGGCGGTGCTGCGGGAGCCGCGGGCGTGGGTTTCGTCGTAAGAACGGGGAAGAGCGCGCGTCTTGGCGCGCGCCGCGTGACCCCGCGCGCGCGGAGCCACCGCGGAGCTTCCTGCGCGTGCTGCGGCGTGCCAAAACTCGACACGCGTCTAGATGAGAGAGAAGATCGTCGAAAAAAAAGAAACAGACGTTCATTTTGCCAAAAAACTCCCTGACGGGGAATCGAACCCCGGCCGCCTGCGTGACAGGCAGGAATACTGACCACTATACTATCAAGGATAGATCGAACCGCGGACGCCGAACGAGGCCGGAGAACCGCGAATCTTTTTGTTGCTGATTTGTTGTGGAAATCAGCGAACATAGTTTCGCAAACGTGGGCAGCCTCGTGAAACTGCCGGGCTGCCATCCATTGGCTCCACCACACGCCCAAGCCGTGCGGCTGCCACACGCCCAAGCCGTCGCGGCGGCGCGGGCGAACGAGCCGACGGCGCCGGCGAACATGCTGTCCGGCAGCGGTTGGACGTGACTGCTTCGTAGCACATCCTCGAACGAGAAGACGGCGACGGCGATGGAAGGCCTGCTCGAGAAGCGCAGCTCGGACGGAACGCGCGGCGCCGGCGTCGAAGAGCATGAACGATGCCGAGGATGGACGACGACGCACGACTCGTTAGGTGGAAGCTCCAGAACTTCCAGCTCAAGGGCCGCTACTTGTTCTACGCGGAGCCGCGGCCGGGCAGCAAACCCGCGCGACTCGATCTCGGCGACGTGATGAAGATCGAGATCGCGAACCGCGCCGCGCCGGGGAGCCCGAAGCCGACGCGCGAGCCCTCGTCGCCGACGCCCGAGCGCAAGGTGCTGTACATCTACGTCGACTCGACGCGACGGCATCGACTGCGCGAGCTTCGGAACGGCTCGACGCCCGCGATCGACGACTGGCTCGACGCGCTCCAGGAGGCCATGCTGAAATGCAGGGAGTCCGCGCCGCCCATCGCGCCGCCCATCGCCGACGAGTCCTCCCTGGCGCCCGCCGGCGCGGCCGCGGCGTCTTTTTGTGACCATCTTTTTGTGGTATTTTTCGTCCGCGCGCTGTCTTTTTCGTCCGTGCGGTCGTCACGCGGCGCTTCCGCAGGTCGCGACCCGCCGCCACCCGCAGGCCCGGGCTTCTTCTTCTGCGCGTGCGGGGAGTAGGCGGTGGCTTTCTTTTTAGTTGCATAATTCTCTGGTCGCGTGTCTTGTCAAGTCTCCGAGGTCCTCTGGCTAGTCCGAGGGATCGTCGTGGGAGCGCAGTAACGAAGACCCCGCGATCCTGACTACGGGGTTAGCACATGAGGGCACTCGTGATCATATTTGATCTCTAAGCGATTAGTTAACTCACATCGGCGGCATAAGACCAGAGTCCGGCGCGACTCAGAATATCCGCTCATTTTGCGCAATCAACGGCTCTCATCGATCAATTTGGTCGATGCGGGTCGGAGGTTGGAACAAGCCTTGTTCGTATAGACGATGACATGTAAGTACATATTATCGAGTGCAGTGGTTAGTACCCCTCGTTGTGGCCGAGGAAACCGGAGTTCGAATCTCCGACAGGGCACAATTCTTTTTTTTGCTTTTTTTTGTTGGTCTCGTCGCGTTGTACTCCGCTCACCGAATCCACGGTACGGTCTGACACTCCGAAACGCAACTTGAACCGCTGTGAATCCTGCGGCTGCGTGTCTCAGAATTCTCACACCTTCCATGGCGGCGTCCATGGCGGCGACCGGCGCATGGTGCTACACCTTGAATTTCCGGGGCCCCGTCCGTTCAAGTTGCCCGCCGGCGGCCTGCGCGACTGTACAATGATGATCGCGGAGCGACGACGTCGCCATCCGCCATCGCCATTGTTCAGTTACCTGGCCGTACGACTCTCACAACGAGACCATGTGCGCCCGGCCGAACGCAACAACCCCGCGCGCCGTCGCGACGGCGCGAGGCGACGCAAGGAAAAAAATGGTAAAAAAATTAAGTGTAAGCTCCGATACAGAACCTTAGCCGATACAGAACCTTAGCTGATTGAGACAACAAATTGATCCCTCACGGGGTCGCAGCGGAACTTTTTTCGGACCGCGGTCGGCGGTTCGGTCTCTGTGGCCTAATGGATAAGGCGCTTGCCTCCGGAGCAAGAGATTCCGGGTTCGAATCCCGGCAGAGACTTCTTTTTTGCTTTTTGATGCCCTGAACGACGCCAAACGACTCGGACGCAAAAGCCACGATTCAGTCCCTTCGCGATGAGGGCAGGTCCTCAAGCGCATGGCACGCGCCGTGCAGTGCACTCGCCGCGCGTTTTATCAACCGCGGCGACCGCGGAAAGAACGGCACGAGGTCCCGTCGTCGTCACGGTCGGCCACACGCGAGCGTCGGCGGCCCGGGGGGCGACGGCGCGCGAGAGCGTCGGTGCATCAGAAGCGCACCCGATCAAAACCACGCACTTCTCCACAAAAAAACATGCTTACCCGCCATTCTTCGCCCGCTTCGCCAAGGGCAACATGTCCTCGGCCGCCTCGCCCGCCTCGTCCGACGGTCGCCGCGGTCGCGACGTGACGAAGGTCGGCTTCGTCGTCGTCTTCGGCTTCGCGACCGAACGCGCGGCGGACGAAGACGAGTACTTTCGCAAAATGGCCGCGGCGGATCGCGGCGCAGCAGCGGGAGAAGCAGCGGCGCCCGAGGAAGAGGTGATAGCATCGATCGCCGGCGCCGCCTGGGTAGCACAAGCTCTCAAAGCCGCGTCTCGCGATCTCAAACACTCGCGGGTTCGCAATCATCTCTCAAACGCGCGCTCAAACTCGCGGCTCGGCGCGTGCGCTCCTCGGGGTCCAACGCACAGAGCACAAACGACGCTCTCAAATCACCACACTGAGCACCGACGATGAAGCCCTCGCCGCGCTCCTCGGGGGCTTTCGAGGCCGCGGCGGCCGTCGCGCTGTACTTCTTCAGGATCGAGCCGCCCTCCGCGCCGCCGCCGACGGTCACCTCCTCCCCCGCGACGCCGTCGAGCGCCCGGCTCCCGCGCCGCCAGGTCTTCGAGGTCTTGTCCGTCGCCGTCGACGGCTTCGGGGGCGGCGCCGCGCCTCGCAGCCGCGCGAGCTCGGCGTCGAGACCCTTGACCTTGGCCAGCGTCGTCGCGTGGGCGTCCGTGGCGCCCAAGGCGCAGAGCTTGGCGGCCATCTTCGCGTACTCGTCGCGCTGGCTCTGCTTCAGCGCGATCTCTCGCCGCTTCAGATCTCGGAGCGTCGGCTTCTTGTCCGCGTCGGACGTCGTCGCCGCTGCAGGTCGCAGGGCGAGGACGTCGCTCGCGCCGGACGTCGCGATCACGTCGCTGGCGCCGGGCGTCGCGAGGACGTCGCTGGCGCCGGACGTCTTCGCCGACGCGAGGACGTCGCCGCCGCCGGCGCGCGGCGCGTCGCCGGAAGACGGCCGCGCGGCGTCCGCGGCGCGCGCCGAGCCTGCGCTCGCGTTCGAGGGCGCGAGCGCCGGGTCGGACATGGCCTTGTGTCGAAGCGCGTCACGCCGCCGTCGTGTCGTCGGTCTCGTCGCGCGTCGCACAGCTCGTCGCAATCGCTGAACGCGGTCGCTGATGGGCTGCGGCGGCGACGTGGAGTCTTTGGGTGTGCGTCGCCGGCGTCGCGGGACGGTGCGGGGTCGCGTGGCAGCGCGTTGCACGCGGCGCGGCGCTCGGCGCCGTGGCCTTGGCAGCGTCCTCTCCAACCCGCTTCGGCGCTTCGGCACGCTTCGGCGCTTCGGGACAGGGTCAAGACCTGACTCCCCAAGTTCGTCGTCACCAAGCGCGATCCGCGACCCGAAGCCAACGGTTTCGAGGTCCGCGGTTCGATCTATCCTTGATAGTATAGTGGTCAGTATTCCTGCCTGTCACGCAGGCGGCCGGGGTTCGATTCCCCGTCAGGGAGTTTTTTGGCAAAATGACGTCTGTTTCTTTTTTTTCGACGATCTTCTCTCTCATCTAGACGCGTGTCGAGTTTTGGCACGCCGCAGCACGCGCAGGAAGCTCCGCGGTGGCTCCGCGCGCGCGCGGTCACGCGGCGCGCGCCAAGACGCGCGCTCTTCCCGGTTCTTACAACGAAACCCACGCCCGCGGCTCCCGCAGCACCGCCAAGCAAGCCGCCTCGGGCGTCCCCGCCGCGGGCTCCTTCCGCCAGCCCCACGCCGCGAGCGGCGGCGACGACACGAGCACGCGCTCGACGCTCTCCGGCGACAGGCCGAACTTGACGCCGCGGTCGTAGAGGAGGTTGAACCTGGTCGACGGCGCGCGATGGTGTGAGGGGCAAAGTCGGGGGAGTTTGGGGCAAAGGACGCGGGAGGTCGACTCGACGTAGCGGCCGCGGCGTAGGTACTGCCTATGTGGATGGGCTCCGCTCGCGACATCGAGCTCTCCCACGAAAAGTACACACGTGGAAAAAGACACGGATACCGACCACTGCTTCTCCGCCTCGGACCACGCCTCGCCGCGCCGCCGCGCCGCGACGGGCATGTAGGGCCCGTCGTCCGCGAGCGCGCAGCGCATCAGCTCCACGGCGAAGTCGCCGGCCCAGGGCGCGTCCAGATCGTCGAAGAAGACGCCGCCGACGCCGCGGTGCTCCCGGCGCGCGGGCAGGTAGAAGTAGTCGTCGCACGTCTTTTTCATGTCGGCGTACGACGCGCCGTGCGCGTCGCAGGTCCGCTTCAGCGCCGCGTGGAACGCGGCGCAGTCCTCCTCGACGACGTAGGACGGCGTCAGGTCCACGCCTGCGTCGCGGCGCGGGAAGGTGAGGCGGCGCGGGAAGGTGAGGCGGCGAGAGCGACCGAGCGACCGAGGTTTTGGTTTTTTCGCG